CATGACCAAAAAAGATGAATTATTGACTCAGAGGAGGTGTGACAAAAACTGCACTTTTCATCGCCCTGTTCAAATTCTTTGTAGGGCTACATAATAAGGTGTAATGCAATGGGTAGAATATCATCACGACATTCTTTAATGTCTAAGAGATATCGCGGTCAACGCGTTCATGATCGGTTTTAGGTCAAAAATTAACCTTATTTTGACCTAATTTTTGACCAAAATATTTCTAAAAGCATTTAAACTTTCCAGCTCAAAACGCTGGTGTAATTAATATCATGTAATTAAATTGCAATGATATCATTGAGATTTCAAATCACGTGGTGCCCTAATGGAAGTGTTGAGTGGAAAAGATTTTAGGGTAAAGATAAGTTTGCCGATGCGCCGATGCGGCATTGTTTCAAAAGTTTCTTTACCTACTATTTTACGAAGCCTTTATCGGTTAATAAATAAAAGCAAGAAAAAAGTCTGTTAAGTTTAAAACGTTCACGAGATTTTGATGGACAAAAGTATGCTATATTTCAGAGTAGGAAAACAACGCAACGAGTGTCGTAGCATAATGGATAGGTCGGTTGAGTAAGCACCAGATTCCAATCCATATTAACATTTAACTTTTAAAATAGCTGTTAATGTTAGTCAGTTATCTTGTTATAAAGCGCCTTCGCCATAACAGCCTTAAGGCGACGGGGAAGGCAGATAATCAAGGCACACGGAAGTCGCCATGCACATACCTCATCGATCGTCTGCAAGCTTACATTCACGGACAAATTAATCCAGAAAAGGACAAACCTCCGAGCCACTGGTTTCATTTCTGCCCGGCAGGTAGTTTCAATGTCCAAAAACAATTCGTAAGGCTTAAAGATGCAATTATCTTGATAAACGAAGGGCAACTGCACTTTTCCTTCCGGCGACATTTTGTTTGAGACTGGTACCCGTCTTTTTACATGGGAGTCACCNCCCCCGAACTTATGTATTACTAAACATTACAGGGATAATAAATCCTGCGGAACAAGTCTACAAACCGACCGATTTCAAGAACAAGAGAGCTCTGAATTTCCCGATCGGGTCGACTAAAATAGAACCGATTGCCTCATTGCTGTGCGCGTTAAAGTTTGTGCTTGAAAAGTTTTGTCTGACTCCCTGAGCGCAACCCCATATCACACAGCAGGGGTATCGATTAACGCTTGATCGAGCTTTCGACTAATCGGAAGTCAGATATGGAGTTAGATGGTTAGAGTTGTACCGAGCACTCAGAAGAATCTCGAGGGACTGAGTTCAGTCAGTATAAAACATGGACTGCGGACTGCGGACTGCGTCCGCGTTTTGTACCTCAGTCCGTGTGTTATACCCAGTCCGTAGTCCGCAGTCCGCGGTCCGTGACTGAACCCAGTCCCTCAAGAATCTCTTACTGTATGTTATATTTTGTGTGCGCATATTTAAGTAGGCTAGCACATTATGCAAATCCAGAAAGCACGCTCATCCGCGTGGTGTGTATGAACAAGCAGAACAAACGTCTTCGACAACGCACCACACCAGATAACTGCTATCTATTTCCGGGTTATGGCTTGTATTTTGCGCTTGGCGTTCTGCCTCAGGTCTCCCTTGTCGCATTTAACCTGAGTATAGCTGTTCCAGTCAAAAAAATGGATAGCTCTGTCCAGCAGATAAATCAGCAAAAAGTGTCAACAAAACCAACTATACTGTCCACTGCGTGGTAATTTATCCGATAGATGGCATTTCGATATAACTACGACAGGTTTACACCAGCACGACCATGAAAATTCATTCAACTCGAGACATTCTGTCTAGTTCTAGGTTACCGGAGCAGAACGTCGTTTTCCTTAATTCGTCGAGTGAGAAACCGAAAACAATCGAG